AGGAAGTCCTCCGTATGTCGAAATTTTCGTCCCGGGGATGTATTAAGAACCCGTAAGGGTGACATACAGGCGTGCAAAATCAAACCCAAGTGCGTTCCCTCTGTAATGTTGCGGGGGGTGTTCTCAAAACACGGGTGGCCTCAGGGACCCTAGGGCCTTAGGGCTTTGAAGGGATTATGAGGACTGATAGGGGTGACGCGTAGATTCTGTAGCGATCATGTTGAAAAACCCTTTGTGATGAATGCTGCTATTTTACTGTTACTGTCACCATTCCTGTCACAAAGTACCACGACTAGACTACTACTTACTACTACCGTTACTACGCCGACAACTACTACGAGCATTTGTAGGATGGCTGGCCGAAGTAAAAACTAGGTGTTTTTGGTGTTTTGGACCCCTCTAAGCTGTTGACCACGAAATTGTTTATTAGAGCATGCATGCCCAATGCCCAAAGCGAAAGCAGCGTTCCTGCTCGAGTGCATCCGACTTGAAGAGCAGCCATGTCCAAACCGTAGTAACTTTCATGTTCGAGTGCATCCGATTACTAGAGCACCCATGCCCAAAACCATGATGGCTCCAAACAAGAGCCTTTGCAGAATGTCCAAAAAACAGCGTGTTTTTCACGCGGCGAGCCTTCCTCCTGCTTCAAATGCTCCTCCCCCTGCTCGTACTCCTCCTTGCTACCGCTACCATGACTGCTACTGCTACTGTTTTTTTGGGTTGCCCTACGCATCTCCTCCTCAGGCTCCTCTTCAAGTGTGCTTAAGGCACTTCCTGCACGTCGGCAGCCCTACCAGATCTTGAAGCCAGTGCCATGCAAGAGTGGCACATTGCTCTGCCCAGTGTGTTTTTAGGCCGTCCCCTTCTATGTCCTCACCCTACCTCACCTCCCGTGTGAATGTAGTGTTTGAGGGGTGGTTGCGTGGCTTGCTGTCGAAGTTGTTGGTTGGAGATTGTGGGCTGGCAGGTGTCTAGCACCCTGGTGTAGAAAGTGGCCGGGACGCGGTGCATCTTCCGCAGTGCCTTCGAATGGAAGGGCTCCAGCCTGTGAAGGTCCGCCTGTGCAAGGGCCGCGGACTCCATTCCATAAACCAGCATGGGCACAAAGACCGCGTTGTAGATGCGGAGCTTCCAATGGTCGGGAGCCCTGTATGCCGCCAAAAATGCTGGAGAGCATTGAAGTGCTCGCGCGCCTTCGCCAGCCTCTCCGTCACGTTCTTGCGGCACATACCATTTCGCGACAGCATCACTCCCAAATATTTGGCATGTTCCATCTCCTTGATCTTCTCCCCTGTGAGGTCGTGCCCGGGTTTGCGAGAATAGTGGGACTTGAGCAGCAGGCATTTTCCTGCTACTAAAATCATTCTTACTATTACAATGCCTCTTATTGTTACTCTTACTATCAGTATCACTAGTTTTATCACGTTTATCAAGGAACCTTATATCTCCCCCAGCATCCCCTATATCCCCGCCTATCCCGTATGTCCCCCTATGCGCTAAAACCCCAGAGACTGCCTGGCCAGAAGACCTCGCACTCGGCTCTCGAGGGACAGCCCTTCCATCCTAGGCTGAATCCAAGATATTATGGGTACATATAACTATAGGTATACACATGAGGGCTATATGAGGAGAGGATGTAAGGGGATTATGCAAGGATATAAGGGTTCTGTAGGGATACTACCCAACAATGGAAGACTAAATGGAAAAGAAAATGGAAATTTGATTTGAAACGACAGTTTACAAGGGGGATAGTCTGGTAGCTGCTATGAATAAGGGGTACCCCTATGTACCCTAAAAATTCTTGCTATTCCCACTGTTGGGACTTCCTTAAAGGGACCCCTAGTGGTTCGAAAACTCATTCGTATAATAAAGGCCGTCGTTATTGTTGCTTGTACATAGGGCCCCCTTGCAACACAGTAACGGAAAAAGCAACAGTTGTCCCAGACTGCCACCTAGGTCCTCCTCAATTTCTTTTGCTGGCTCGGTCCCCTCTTGCTTTCCAGCTTGTGATTCTTGCACCACTTTCCTGGGTTGCTGTTAAGGAACTTAACTCAAGTTACCATAATGGGTATATATAATAATTAATAGGGTTTCCCATTATAGCAACTTAAATGAAGTTCCTTAACAGCAACCCAGTTTCTGGTCCGTGGGTGCGACTTCACACTGTCCAGCTAGATCTTCATCATCCGTGGGCTTCACCTCTGCATCTGGCTGGCCTTAGCCCGAGACAACAACTCTCCACTAACCTGCGAACCATCCAAGGAAAGGAAGACTGTGGATGGAGGAGATCCTGCACCAGCGTACTATTTTTCTATGATTGCTATTACTACTGCTATTGCTATGATTACTAGCGTTACTATTATTACGACTACATTGCTTACCCTCGTAGTTACAGCCTTCTGGGTCTCCTAACCGATGCAATTTTTCCTCCATCCACTGCTGCGAGGTCTCTTGCCAACAGGCGGCCCTTGACCCGCCTGGATTCTCCGATGGACTTGGGCTTGGATGCATCCTTTCAGGTCCATACAGTATACTGTAGTATATTTTAGTATTTTATAGTAGATTATGGTTATGTGGTATATTTTGTTATATTTATGGTATATAAAAATAATGGCCGGCTCAAGGGTTTAGGGTTCAGGGTTTTAGGGTGCAGGATTTAGGATTTAGCATTTAGAGTTCAGGGTTTAGGGCTTCAGGACGCAAAACTGTCTGAAGACCATCCATCAGGGCGCCGACGTTCAACTGTACTCAAGTCATCGCTTCACGAAATACCACACCAGAAGAGCTGACTGCCATGCACAGAAAGGAGATCCCACATCCAACCCTCATGCCTTCCAGAGATTCTGTTGCTAATCTGATTTCTAGGTCTTCTTGAATTTTCCTAAGCCACAAGTATCTAGGACCATAATGTTGGAAATGATTCGCCCTAAACCCTGAATTTGTATATGTCTGTGTTGTACACACACACCCTGTAGCCCCCTTAAAGGAACCTCAATGTTGGTAAATATATTTGATCCCCTAGATTCACGCTTCTACATTGCACTTCCGTGTGCTGAGATAGATGTCAAAGAACTCTAAACCCTAAACCCCTAAACACTAAACCCGAAACCCTAAACCCTCTCCCGCGCATCTGCCTGGCTGGGAGCCCGCCCTTGCACAGATGGATCTGGCGTCGCCTTCTTCCGGCCTGCGCAAACTCAGGTGCGTCCATAAATGTGAGATCCCAAGATATAATCCAGCACACCCTAAACCCCAAAGTTATCCCCAAAACAGGGAACCCAACTTGGGAACCCTAAACCCTAAACCCTATAGACCCTAAACCCCCCAACCAATAAAAAGCAAGCTCTGCTGTATAGGAATGCCCTGATGCAGCCCATTGGTCAGCTGCAGAAGCAACTTCACCTTCACCACCTAAGAACCCCAGAATAAAACCCTAAACCCTAAACCCTACACCCTAAACCCTAAACCCTAGAATAAAACAAAGGTTTAGGTTTTGGGCAAAATGAAGCAGAACTTCCAGGTGAGTTATAGAGACCATTGTATAAGACTACCGCCATGAACATGGATCTGTTCACTCATTCCCTACTCGCCTAAACCCTAAACCCTGAAAGCACCAACTAGAAATAGCTGCAAAACATCAAGAAGGTATGCAACTTAAGATTTGAGCCTGAGGACATCTTGCTTTGGCCTATGGCGGAGCCCTGCAGTGTCAGCTACCTTCCTCCGTTTCGGGTTTGGGGTTTTAGGTGGGGGCTTCAGGGTCTAGCGCTTAGAGTTTCGGGCTCAGGGCTAGGGCTTGGGGTTTTAGGGCTTGGAGTTTAAGGTTTAGGGTTTGGGGCTTTCCGCCCTTCATGCAAATAGCTCTCAAGACATGGGATTTGCCGCCAACCCATGCCTTGCCTCGAGATCCCAGTCCCAGACACCCTAAAGGATCCAAAAAATAGAACCCCCCAATATGATCCCTGAACCCATTACTACATTGGGGAAACTAGGGGATTATTGGGGGGTCTCATGCTTTGGATCCTTTAGGGGTCTGGGGTTGACTATAACTCACAATATTACCCCAAAAGGAATAGAGAATCAAATGGAAGTTAAATGGCAAATGAAATGGACACGGGGTTCACATAGTGGGCGGCTTCTGCTCTGCAGCAAAAACGAATGTGAGCTACAGTCCTATCATGGTTTAAGGTTCAGGGTTCAGATATTTCCAGATAACTTACGGACATGGGTTCCTATTAGGGAATGTATTACGGAGAATATGTACACCAATATAAACAGAAGCTCATGTAGGATTCATATTCTCCCCAAACCCTAAATGCGCCTTGCCGCATCCATCCTTCTTGTTCATCTGGAGCGGCCATGCGCCTTCTGACTGATACTCCATGACGATTCACCCACTCTTCTTGAGTCATGCGGATGGAAGCGAAACCTATTTGGAAAACTGGTCTGAAGCTGATATGTACCAAAATGCGCCACTATTACTGGTACTATGACCATTATTACTGAAATGATTAGAAAGCCTCTCGGCGATAGGATAAGAATCCGGGTGATATACAACTACAGCTACTAAAGCTATTGCCATACAACAACATTTATGGCAATATAACTAGCACTACCAACACTATTAGCAGTAGTGCAACATCTGGGTTGGCCCTAAAGCCCTTTGAAAAATATTAGTATATAGGGTCCCGTATTAAAGCCACTAGGGAAAATATTAAATATTTTAGGGACCTGTCCAGACATAAATGGTAGTAAGGTCGCCACTCCTCCCTGGCAGCTTTTCGTGGCGATCCTTGGGCCTGGCAGTGGGTTGGGAAAACCCGAAAGAGTTCTGTTATCGACTGGGGAATGACAGGGTTAGGGTTTAGGGCTTAGGGTGTAGGGCTTAGGGCTATATAGGGGTTGTATAGGGATTATATAGGGGCCATAGGCGAGTTAGGGTGTTATGAGGGGATTGTGGGGGTGAAGGGGTTCATGCATATATGCATACATAGGTTGTTGGGGCTTAGGAATATTGCCCCAATCATGGAGAGTCAAATGGAACATGAACTGGAAATTGGGATTTTGGAGGGCTTCATCATTTGAAGGGTTGCTGATTATAATGGGGACCCACATAAACATGATTTTGACAACCTACCACATGGAAGTTTCAATAGATAGTCGGCCCCAATATTGACCCCCATCGACTATAGTTAGTGTCATCCCTATCATGGAGACTCCAAAAATTGGGACCGTGATGTTTAGAAACCCCCACATACAGGTGGACATACAGACGTACAGACAAACGACCCTTTTCATCAATTGGCTGCCAAACTCTTCCCTCGTCAACAACCTCCCTAAACCCGAAACCCTAATCCCTGCAGCTTCTCCCCGCCTTCCGCTGCAGGATCTTCGGCACCGCAGCTGCTTTGGGTACCTCCATCACGAGGCCACAGCAGGAATGAAGCATGTTTGATATTGCCCTTGCTGTGCACATCCAAGAGTTGTGGACCATAACACCCTGCCTCTAAGGTATGGGTTTGGGGGCTTAAGGGTGCTTAGGGGGGGTTTAGGAGGGCAGAGGGAGGTTTGGGTTCAGCGGGGTTTAGGTTTAGCAGCGTGAGTTCTTTAGGGCTTGGGATTGTTGTTTTGTTGTGTCCTTACATGCGGTACAAAAGGCAAGGAAGACGAGAGCGCGCGTGCCGGAAGATGAAAAGCTGTTCGCACGCCTAAGTGCACTGTTTGCTTCCTCAACACACACAGCCTATCCTACTTCCGGACAGCTTGAAGCCAGCCTGCATCAAAACACAAACAGTACTGTAGATCAGCGACTTCAACAAGTAATCCCTGTACATATACATGTATATACACATATATGTACATGCATATACATATGTATAAAACAGAAATAGACATATACATGGATATTCATATACGACTTTGAAGGGAACCCCTGCAATCTCTTCATAGCCCCTCAATTATTTATCCCCAGGGTCCCTCAGGCGAGAGTAACCTGCATAGGGTTTAGGGTTCAGAGGGTCTAGGGTTTAGGGTGGTAAGCAAGGAATGGAAAAGAACAAGCAAGCTACTGTATTGACAAACTGCTGAGGATTATGTATGGTTTTGGCCCCCCCAATTTGGACACCAAATATCTACCCTCTCCAATATTCCTCAGGAACCCTTCATACACTCACAAATTCCAACCCTAAACCCTATATAGAGCTACTATACGACTGCGGAAATCTGAACCCTCAACCCCATGCCGGGCTACTTTAGGACTGCGGAAATCTACTGAGAAAGTTCGTGCCCAGTCGACCTTCCGGCTTTCAGGCAAGAGCTCGGCACCTGGCCCGGCAAAGATTTGGGGGCCAATGATGGAGAATCAAGGGTTTAGGGTTTGGGGTTTAGGGTTTAGGGTTTGGGGTTTAGGGTTTGGGGTTTAGGGTTTGGGGCTTAAGGTTTAAGATTTGGGTTTGGGGTTAAAGGTTTAAGGGTTATACATTGGTTTGTAGGGCCAATACATACTAATCCCTTCCTTCTCACAGTCACTAGCCACCCGCCACCTCCATAGTATCAGATGCTCCCCATAAGAGACCTTATATGTTGCAAGATATGCTTGAAATTAGGGGTGGCGAGGGACATTAAAGAGTAGTGCAAAGGAATTAGCAGAAGTGAATATGTAATCATATGCAGGGGATTATAGGGAGAAACTTCCACCTGGACTCTGTGGTGACTTGAGTAGGGCTTAGGGTTTAGCTCCTTCGGTTTCAGAGAAAGAGTCAAAGAAACCCCAATCAGGGAAATTTAGAATAATTTCAATTCCCAACTTAAGGTCATTTTGGTACTATTCCCTGTATAAACCAGTATTTAGGGTGAGGTCGGCTGAGGTCGCTTTAAAATGCCCAGCCCAACAGTCCCGAACAGGGTCTCTCAAAGGTCTGCAAACAGCACATCCTGGCCTGCAATTGATGTTGGAGCCAAAGACAAAGCCAGAACGCCTGGGTCAAAGCAGCGCTCTTGGGCCCAAGAAATCTTTTAAAAAAAACCCAAAAACCTGCAAAAACCTGCGCAAAAGCCATGAGTTAAGGATGGCAATCTAACTTGCTTGATGATACTGAGAGGTTCATGGGACTTAGTAAGTACTTAAAACTGGGCTTATAACCCTACTTAGAATATCTTAGAATTACCCTAAATGGACTTACAGGGGGTATCCCAATTGTAAGTAGGGTGATAACCTCAATCATAAGCACTTACTCTGTCCCATGAACCTCCCTAAACCCTAAA